TTTTTTTTTAACTCCATCTATTGGTGGGGAGCATCACCTGCTGGAAACCGGGTCCAGCGTCCCTTTGAGTACATCATTACAAATTTTACAACATTTGAACTTGACACCATTGTGCTGGAAACCGGGTCCAGCGTCCCCTGTCCAAACTCAATAGAGTGTTAAGATTGCCAGAAAGCCGGTTCAGCATCCCAGTTATTGCACCTTTCGGTTTGTTTAAATGCTAATTCTTTAAGCCCGACAAATTCAATTACGTGTAGGCCTTTCAGGCCTTTTTTATTGTCCTTGTAGTATTACGGGGAACCATGTAGCAGCCATATCCGTGCTCAAGCCTCCGACGAGGGAACATGCGGGAGCACCACCCACCAGCAGGTGCGTTACCTGCTACAGCAGGGGGGGGATGCCTCAGGGTCACATCCAAAATCTTTACCAAATTTAAAATAAAAATAAAATTCAAAAATCATTTTTTTTCTTTCTTTTTTTTGGCCCGGCCAGGCAAGTGGTCCCAGGCCACTCTGATAGCCTAGTGTACCATGCATTATTGCATGAATTAATGCAGACAGTTTTGTGCCTTTGTGAAGCGTCCTCCAGTACCTTCGGAAGGCGCGACCGTTAAAGAGCCACTACTTTCGGGATGACGATCATTTTTTTTTTCTTTTTTTTTTTCCTTCTTTTTTTCTTTTTCTTTTTTTTATAAGTCCAGGGTGTTGTAGAGGTCGGTTTGTGGACCCACGACACGTACCTACAGTCAGCAACTAATTTATGGGACCCAGACCAGGATCCCCCTCAGACAGCCCCTACTGCAGGTTTCCCAATGATTTCCTCCACCAGAGTCTGTCTACTAACACCCCTCCGACCGGGATCCCTTAAGACAATCCTCTACTGCAGGTTCCCCACCGATATCCTCCAGCAGAGCTTGTCCCAAGCCAACCCTCCCCCCAAACGGGACCCCATCCCACCTAAGGTCCTTGTCCCCCCCAAAGCAGAGCCTAAGGTAACCAACACACATGAGCAGTCTAACCACAAACCTGTACCCGCATCCTCATTAGACTGCTAACTGTATCAGGCAAACCCCTTATAGGCCAGGACCCAACATACAACACCATGGACAGTCCCCTGGGTGGTGCGCAGGCAGTGTCTATAATAGCTTACCATGCGTCACCCCAAGGGGTGTGTGTCCAGCCGTGCGTCATTCTAACGCCCTGCCGGTGTCCATGTGTGAGGCTGCGGATTTGAACCCGCAACCTCATACCACAATGCACATTTCCAACCGGTGCTCTAACCACTGAGCTACATCAACTGGACACAGGATGAACGATCTTGGGGCGCTAGTAGAAATTCAGCCAAGTGTACCATCGTGGTTTTTCCATTGGCTGGCGTACACGAGGCCCGACTTGCGGAGGTACTGGTGGGTTAATCCACCTGTACTCAGGCCATACATCGGCCACCGGAAAAGAAATGACTAGAAGCGTTTCTAGTGGGATGAATCTGGGCGCTCCCTTAGTGGCTCATCCGTTCATCATTGTCGCGGCTGGTATCGCGCCACCACTTTCGGAGGTACTCGTGGTTGAAGCATTTATGCCGGCCATTTTGTTCCCACGCGGGCGCAAATGCGCCGCTGCGTCCTTCGGGCTCTGCCTCCCAAACGGAAATGGCTTTTTTTTTTTTTTTTTTTTGAAAACATGCTCCAATCTATTCGTGGGGAGCAGCACGTCCTGGGAATCAGGCCCAGCGTCCCATATGAAGACATGTACAGAACAATTTATGAACCAATTGAGGTACCGGGGCCATTTACCCGGTCTCAGCTTTGAGAGTATCCTCCAAGATCGTGAACAAGCTACTGGACTTCGAGATAGATGATGAGAAAACTACGAATCCTTTTTTATGATCGCTAAACACCTCCTGAAATCCACCGCAATTTTCTGAACACGCGAGTATCTAAGGGATTTCCAACAGATCATAACAAATCTCACTAAAACTGACTTATTCTCTGACAAACTCATCTAGGCCTCATGCCCCCTATCTGCTAGGTTACAAAGCAACGCGACTCACTCCAGCTCCGGCCAGTGTTGTCCTGTGTCAGCAACCCCCAACTGTCCCTTAGGATGGCCCCCCATAGCATCCCCAGATCTCTCTACAATGCCTCATGCCCTCACCTTTGGCAAGTTACAGGGCATCTGTGGCATACTGCGCAGCCACACGGGCCTGCAGGGCCCGACCAGTGTTCGCAGCCTAAAAGCCTGAAAACAAGGGCTTACAGGCCCTGTGTCGTTTCAGCCTGAAAGCCTGAAAACGAGGGCCTGCAGGCCCTACGTCGTTCAGCCTAAAACAGGGCCTTCCAGGCCCTGAGTCTTTTCAGCCTGAAACGGAGGGCCACTTTCAGGCCCTCATAAGATCGACCTGCCCTGACATTCAGGCACCAAACCAGGGTCTTAGGAACAGGCTATTTTTGGCCTGTTCCCACGACAGCCTCAGCAGGAGCTGCAGCGCCAGGCCCTGGCTCGTTTTGGCATTGGCAAGAGCAGCCTCCTGGACTGCCCTGCCCTGGAACTGCAGGCAGTCGGAGGCAGTCAGGAGGCAGGCYGAGGTAGTACATAGGGAGTTCCCATGCACTTCATGGGCAGGCAGAAGGCAGGAGTAGTCTTCAGGATTCGGCAGTAGCACTCTGGAGGAGCGCTGCAGGAGTAGCTTTAGCGCTAGGAGTAGTCTTCAGCGCTGGCCGCTGGTAGGAGTAGAGAAGTGTTGGAGAGAGAGATGGCTGGCAGAGGCCAGGGAGACTTACCTGTGGCGCCATAGCTCCAGCTTCATCTTCGAGGTACCTGCATCAAGGCGCCAACTTCACAGGTTAGTACCGGACAGAGAGAGAGAGAGAGAGTTCTTCTTCTTCCTTTCTAAGTCCACCATCTCTTCTTCACCCCCTCGCTACCTGACTTCTCAGTATCTGCGGACTACGAGAGAGAGATAGAGTTGTGACTTTGGGACTTGACGACATTGGATTCAGACTCGACATTGGGGATTCAGACATTTGACGAGGGATTACTTGGGGCCTGTGCCAAAGACTTGGTGTTGACGACATTCCCATCTTCCCCTCTTCTTCGTCTGTGTATGGTTGGGGACTGACGCATTCTTCCTGTGTGAGCGCCAGGCCCCTTCACACCATGGAATGATGATGATGTATGTTTGGGGCTGCATTGCAACCTTGATTGTTCGGATCATTGGTATCCAAGTTTTCCGCTACTTTATCTTGTACTTTGTGAGAGAGATCAGTTCTTGTTCTGGTCTGCACCATTACGGTATGCAACAGTTTGGTATCGGAGCGGACCTCTCAATCAGAGGACCCGCTCAATCAAGTAGCCAGCTTGCTTGATCTATTGATTGTTTATTAGTAAATCAAGTAGGACTTCGTCAAATCTCTGATTTTTTTTTTTTCTTTCTCGCAACAAATATCTGAAAATTCTGGATAATAGCATTTCGTTTTATCTCAAAATTTCTGATATTAGCATTTCAAATATGTGAAAATTCCGGATAATACCATTTCGTTTTATCTGAAAATTTCTGATATTAGCATTTCGTTTTCACGCAGCAAATATCTGAAAAAATTTCTGAAGTTCAAAGTAGCATTTAGTTTAGGATAACGATAGAGGTGGTCATATTCTCGGAAACTGGATTTATTCTGTTCTGAAAATCGAAACTCCATTCTATCTCGCAAATTCTTTTTTGAAAGCTGAAATCTTGCGAAGCCTATCAGCGTTTCATTTTTAGGCATATTAGGAGGTTGTCATATTCTCAGAAACTGGAGTTAGTTCTTTTCTGAAAATCGCATCTCTACTCTATTTCGCAATTTTTTTTTTTTTCAAGATCGCATTTTTGTGAAAGCCGAAACATTGCGGAACCTAGCCTAGATCTCGCTCATAGTACTCCTCTGAGAAGCCTCACTCGTAACAGATCGACAGATATATAAAAAAAAGGGGGGGTGATCCTCTTCGTTTTTTTTTTTTTTTTTTTCTTTTTTCCTGTTGATTAGGACCGGGAGGAAAGTATAGCTTGGTTGGTTACCTACCTGCCTTTTCCCTCCCACCCAACCCTTTGCTTGCATTCCCGGTTTGGTACAGTGCCACATAGCAGTGCCACGCAGCAGTGCCACGTCAGCAACAGTGCCACGTCAGCAGTGCCACATCAGCAACAGTGCCACGTCACCAACAGTGCCACGTCAGCAGTGCTATGTCAGCAGTGCCATGTCAGCAGTGCCACGACAGCAGTGCCACGTCAGCAGTACCACGTCAGCAGTACCCCGCCACCATGACGGTCTCGGTTCTGGGCATGCCAGGCCAACTGGCCAATGAGTCCATTGCCGAGTACCGACAGTGTTTCGAAGCTCAGCTCGCACTGATCGAGGCTGAGGGAGCAGCGCCAGGCGGCAGCCGAGGCTGCCTGCCTACAAGCTGAAGCGGCGGCAGCAGCTGAAAAGCAGCGGCTTCAGGCCGAAGCAGACACAGATACCCAGGCACGCCGCAAGGAGGCCCAGGATCTGCTACAGCGGCATGAAGCCACCAACATTGAAAAACTCAAATTCTGGCATTTTGAACCATAAGAGCACCACGAAGACGCGACACCGGAAGAGCAGCACAAGGAGTTCCTTGCCAAACTCGTGACCCCGTTGGCTTACACTTGTAACCAGCTGCAGTCCGAGCTGGCGAATCTCCGACGGGCGGTGCGGAACCACAAGGATCTGCACGAGGATGCTACACGGGCACTTGATTCCTGTGTATAGGACATGGAGCAAGTTGCACCAAGACCAGATGTTGGCGAGTCCAGTAGTGCACCATCTACATGCCAATTGGAGGAACGAGTTGACCACGTAGTCGCAATGCTCGGCGACATCAGCACCTTCGCTGCACCAGCCACCATCAGCAAGCAGTTGAACACCTTGAAGACCGAGGTTCAGCAACTGCACCAGTGGCCCAACGAGGAGGGCAACACCAGTGCGCAGCACTACAAGATGCCGACATTCCAAATCGAAATGTTCGATGATTATATGCATCAAGACCCGGTCCCCTGGTGGGAGGGCTTTACGACGCAACTTCGGATTCTTTTCGTCCCCGAGCACTCGTACATCGGTGCGTTGTTCCTCAACTTAGAGGGCAGATGCCACGACGTCCAGGTCGCAAATCTGCATGAGAAGATCTCTTGGGAAGAGTTAACGAGGCTATGGAAGAAGTGGTTCATCATGGACGACGCCCTGACGCTCGCCATCAACCGCCTCTTCGCCATGACGCAAGGCAACACATCGACACGCGACTGGCTCACGGAATGGCAAAAGATCGCGGCAACGCCCGATCTCGAATTGCCATTTTCGCATCTGCGCCGAGAGTTCTACAACCGGTCATGTGCCGTCTTGAGCCTTGCACTTGGTGATCGTGAGCAATACACGACCTTCGCCGAAATCATCGACAAGGCAAGGGAGATCATCAAGACTAATGGGGCGGCTGCACACGAGAAGTCAGCGTGGCAGCCAACCTATGTGGAGAAAGGAAAATTTGGTTCGCGCCCGCAGCATGTCGCTGCAGTCCAAACGGACAACATTGTGGAAGACCCGACAACCACCTAAGCATCACGTGAGGGAGATCAGGTGGCCGCTGTCCAGCCGCGAAGCAACAACAACTCCCGAGGAAAAGGGAAGGCGAAAACCGCATCGCCGACCGGAAACGGACAGCCAGCACCATGGGTCAAGTTTCACTTGACCGAGGCCGAATACAAGTAGCGCGCCCGGTATGGCTGCTGCTATTGGTGCAACAACACCAAGCACAAGACCTCCCAATGCCCGGATCAAGGCAAGGAGGATGTTCGACCTCACATCTGCTCGGGAAACTGAGTTGCGCGGGAGGTGAGGCGACTCCATCTCTGACTCCGCCAGATTCGGCCACCTTGCTAGCGGTCTCCTACACATCTGGGGAGGATGCGAATGTTGCAAGTCCTTGGTTCACTTACAAGGAGTATGTTATCCACTTGGTCCCACCGTTGGACCAACCACTCCACGTGCAACAATCCAACGCATGCACGGTTTCACTACCATCGGCAACCGATTCGTCAGCTTCGCTGCCATCTATCGCCGGGGATTCGACGACATGGTCAAAACTTGAAGACCTCGACACGTTGACGTTTGCGGACTTCCAATAGATGCCCCTTCCCCCGTCCGGTCGATTGCCGAAACCACATTGCAATGTGCTCATGGCACAATTGCGGGATTACTTGCACACTGCAGTACCAACTCCGTTGATAGACGCCGAAGTAGAGGTTGTCGACCTTCACGACTACGTTGCGAAGATCGACCCCGAGTTCAAGACACAACGGTACGACAATATCGACGCACCATTGTTATACATACGCATTCAGATCGATGAGGTGATCTGCAACGCTTTGATCGATTGCGGAGCTACTCGCAACTACATGAGCCAAGACTTTATGGTACGCGTTGACCTTGGGCCACGCGTTCGGAGGAAGTCACAGCCCACGCAAGTCACGTTGACCAACGGTCACGCGCACAAGTCAATTGACCGGTGCATTGATGCCGTCCCCGTGTACTTTGCCCCGCATGCAAGCAAGGCCGTGTCCTTTGACATTTTGATCACCAAGTTCAACATGATCTTGGGCATGTCATGGTTGCGAAGCGAGGATCACCCGGTGAACTTCTACCGCCGCACCGTTGACGTTCGTGACCGGAACGGAGTACTAGTCCCATGCACGGTGCCTCCTCCTCACCCTTCGATCAACGGCCATGTGGTGTCCGCCGCAAGCATTCGAGCTTCCATCATCAGGGATGACATCGAGGAGATGCAAGTGTGTTTTCTCCACGCCCTCCCGCCCCATGACATTCCATCGACGGACTCATCATCGGACCCACGCATCACCGAGTTTCTTGACGCCTACGGCGACGTGTTTGAAGCCTTGCACGGAGTAGTACCGGATCAGCCCATCCGCCACGAGATCATCCTCGAGGCCGAGGTCGTACCTCTGCGTGGTTACATCTACCGCATGAGCGAGGAAGAGTTAAGTGTGCTACGAGCACAACTCGACGACCTTTTCGAGAAAGGCTGGATCCGGCCTAGCTCTTCGCCATACAGTGCTCCCGTTCTCGTCGTTCGGAAGAAGAACAAGGATTTGTGGTTGTGCATCGATTATCGCAAGCTCAACGAGTAAACCGTCAAGAACACCGGACCTCTTCCGCGCATCGACGACCTCCTCGAACGGCTGGGCGGCACCAAGTTCTTCTCCAAGCTTGACCTCAAATCGGGATATCACCAACTCGAGATCCGGCAGGAGGACCGTTACAAGACCACATTTAAGACAGGATATGATGGGCATTTCAAATGACTGGTTATGCCTTTTGGCCTTATGAATGCCCCGGTCACATTCCAAGCGGCTATGACAACGGAGTTCCGACACATGCTGGATAAATTCGTACTCATCTACCTCGACGATATCTTGGTGTACAACCGGAGTTTGGACGAGCATGTGGAGCACCTGCGCACCGTTTTGGAGCGGCTACGACAAGCCAAGTACAAAGCCAACCGTGACGAATGCGAATTCGCGCGGCAAGAGTTGGAGTACTTGGGACATTATGTGACGCCGCAAGGCATCTGTCTGCTTGCGGACAAGATCGAGGCCATCCGCGTATGGCTCGAGCCCACCAACACCACATATTTTCGCTCATTCATGGGGTTGGCGGACTACTATCAACACTTCATCACCGGGTACCCAAGGATTGCCACACCTATGACGAGATTACAATCGCCAAAGGTGCCATTCGTATTCGATGACGACGCACGCCGGTCATTCCAAGCACTCAAGACGATCATGCTCATGGCACCTGTCCTTAGCATCTATGACCCCACCCTGCCAACGAGAGTGACAACTGACGCTTCCGGCTATGGCATTGGGGCAGTCTTGGAACAACACGATGGCCCGTGGAGTATTTCAGCCACAAAGTGTCTCTCATCAATTCACTTGATGATGCAAGGAAGAAGGAGTTGCTCGCGTTCGTGATCGCTCTCAAGTGATGGCGGCACTTCCTCCTTGGGCGTCGTAGGTTCACATGGGTCACGGACAACAACCCATTGACCTACTACAAGACTCAGGATACGGTGAGCAGCACGATCGGACGATGGATGTACTTCATCGACCAATTTGACTTCACACTGAAACATCTCGCCTGCCTCTCCAATCGCGCAGCAGATACACTCTCGCGAAGACCCGATCTTTGCGCTATGACACATCATGCCTTCGCATTCGAAACTCCAGCGACACTTCATCCGGGGCTATGAGTCCGATCCGGATTTCGCCACGTTGTATGCGCAACTATCTTCGGATCACCCGCCGTCCAGCCACCATCGCATCATCGACGGGGACTTGCTCCTCCACTCGCGAGGCAAGGACTTATTGTGTGTCCCACGTGAACATCGTCTTCGGACTCGCTTTCTCGGTGAGTACCATGACTCGCGACTCGCCGGCCATTTCGGAGTCAACCGCACTATTGCACGACTTCGGCAACGATTCCGATGGCCCGACCTCATTACCGATGTCACTCGGTATTGCGACTCTTGCAAAGTTTGCCGACGAAGCAAGCCCCGCAACCGCAATCCTTACGGCGAGTTGCGCCCGATTCCTATCCCATGGGAACCCGGCCTCTCCATTGCCATGGACGTCACCGGTCCGTTTCTCCACAACCGCCTCGGGCATGGCGACATTTTCACGGTCGTTGACCATTTGAGTAAGTATGCGCGATTTCTTCCTTGCAAGTACTACGCCACGACTCCCGAACTTGCGTGCCTCTTACACACCAGCTGACTTTGCAGCCACGACATACCGGAAGACATCGTCAGCGACCGCGACACTCGCTTCATGTCGGCATTTTGGACTTCTCTCATGCAGGAATCCGACACAAAGATGAAACCAAGTTCGGCTTGGCATCCACAAACGGACTGGCAAACGGAGCGGGCACATCAAACCGCTCAAATGATGCTTCGTACACTCATCCGTCCAGATCATAAGGATTGGGTTGACCGCCTCCCCAACATTGAGTTCACCTATAACACTTCGTTGCATCCGGCGATCGGCGTGACTCCATTCGAGTTGCACCACAGTGGTCGGAAAGGCCATATCTTCGCTGATCTCCTCCTCCCACGAACAACCGACATAGATGCTGCTTGCTCCCCCGCTTTCGTTCAGAAGTACAGGGAATTGCTGGCTCAAGCCCGCGCGAACATGCAAAAGGCTCAAGTCCGCATGCAGCAACAAGCCAACAGGCATTGCGTGCCATGTCCCATCCGCGCTGGTGATCTGGTGTGGGTGTCCGCGGAAGAGTTTGCACTCGAGCAGGATGTTTCATGCAAACTGCTTCCCAAGTGGTTTGGACCATGGCCCGTAACATCAGCCGCGGGCGATGAGCCGATGGACCCTCATTTGTTGTCAACATTCCCCCGCATCTGACGGTCCATCCAGTCTTTTACGCCTCGAAGCTGACGACTTATACACCAGCTAAGAGCGACGACTTCCCGCGCTGAAGATCGCAAGATCCTCCATCTATGGATGGTCATCAGGAGGTTAACCGCGTCATCACGGATCGCAAGTACGACAACAAGCCTCGACTGTACAAGGTTACATTCAAAGCATGCGATCCCAAGGACACTCGATGGATTTCAGGAGCAGATTTGAAAACATCCGTACTGCTGATCTACGCTCACTACGAGCGATAACGGTTAGCTAAGGGAACTTCACGACCTGCCCCTCCCACCCGGACTGTGGTCCCTCCCTCAGACAGATAGCTTCGCTCTCGCAGGTAAGCTCGGTCTTTCAAGGAGGGGGAGGTGTGGCATACTGCGCAGCCACACGGGCCTGCAGGGCCCGACCAGCGTTTGCAGCCTAAAAGCGTGAAAACAAGGGCTTACAAGCCCTGTGTCGTTTCAGCCGGAAAGCCTGAAAACGAGGGCCTGCAAGCCCGATGTCATTTCAGCCTAAAACAGGGCCTTTCAGACCCTGAGTCTTTTCAGCCTGAAACGGAGGGCCACTTTCGGACCCTCATAAAATCGACCTGCCCTAACATGCAGGCACCAAATCAGGGTTTTAGGAACAAACTATTTTTGGCCTGTTCCCACGACAGCCTCAGCAAGAGCTGCAGCGCTAGGCCCTGGCTCGTTTTGGCATTGGCAAGAGCAGCCTCCTGGACTGCCCCGCCCTGCAACTGCAAGCAGTCGGAGGCAGTCAGGAGGCAGGCCGAGGTAGTACATACTACATAGGGAGTTCCCATGCACTTCACGGGCAGGCAGAAGGCAGGAGCAGGAGTAGCTTTAGCGTTAATAGTAGTCTTCAACGCTGGGCGCTAGTAGCTGTAATGGCAGTCTTCAGTGCTGGGCGCTGGTAGGAGTAGAGTAGTGTTGGAGAGAGAGATGGCTGGTAGAGGCCAAGGAGACTTACCTGTGGCGCCATAGCTCCAGCTTCATCTTTGACGTACCTGCATCAAGGCGCCAACTTCACAGGTTAGTATCGGACACACAGAGAGAGAGAGAGAGAGAGAGAGAGAGAGAGAGCTGTCTCTTATACACATATAGATGTGTATAAGAGACGCCGAAACCACATTGCAATGTGCTCATGGCACAA